CCTCCCCCTTTTCTGATGAAGGGTCTAGGCCCGAAACGTCAGCCTCTCTGCTCCTATGATGCTGCTTGGCCTGCTGTGTTCATCCAGCCCTGCACCTTGTTGTCTCGGATTCTCCAGCATCTGCAGTTCCTACTATCTCTGAAGCAATCAATAATGCCAGGTATTGACTGCCAGTTCACCAACTTCCTTTGATTGAGAAGAAAAATATTCTCAACACACCTCCCAGCCTTCTACATTTTGTTTAAATCTATGATAATTGTTCACTACGCCTTTAATAATTGAAAAAAAAATCCATACAATCTATGCCCTTCAGACAATTATCGACTCAAGAATATTGCAATCTTTCCAACACGAAGAAAGACAATTCCAGACCATCAAATAACTCACACGGCTTAGAATTTCCAGCCCAAGCAGCACCCTGATAAATTTCTGCACCATGCCTATTGTGATTTCATCCTCCCCATAATATTGTGAGCAATAATTCAAACAGTTATCCACATGTACCTTAACCAGCATTTAATATGGTGTTTTCAATTCTCACAAATTCCCCTCGAAGAAAAAGAACATGGACCAGTCCAGCCCACTGTACTGAAATTGGAGACAATTGATCAACTGGTCAATCAGTTGAATTTCTCTCTATCTTAATTGATTACAATGAATGCCTCACCTAATCACTGAAGTTCACCAGCAACACTGGTGTTGGCTCAACTCATGAAGAATAAAGAGCCTTGTTTTGCCTTGAAGTTCGTAAGGAATTCTTCACAATCAATGCATAGCAGGTTCGGCATTATAAGAAGCAGAAACTTGGAGAAAATTAAATATGAGAGTAAGATAGCTTGCAATGCAAAATAAGATTGCAAGAATATCTTAAAGGTAAGAGAAAGGCAAGAGTGGGCATTTGACCGCTGAAAAATAGGGCTGGAGAAGTAGTAATTGAGAACACTTTGCATTAGTTTTCACAGAGGAAGGCACCAACAAAAATTCAGAACTTCAACAGAGTCAAGGGGGCAGAGGTGAGTGCAATGGCCACCA